GTAACACACCCAGTCGGTACATGGTATGATGGTATCGTTCCCAAGGGGTTGTACCCAAGCTAGCATGGTGTTCACATCGGCCCGTCTTGTAACAGCGAGTACATCCATGCCAGAAACAGCCCAAGTATTCATACACGGTGCGTGTTTTGTCGTCGTAGCCATCCACCATGTAGCGGCTACCGTCAGCACAGTCAAAGCCTACTTCTCCACCATTCCGAGCATGTTGGATGTGGACCCCAGGGTGTTGATGCATGACCCAGTTGAGCCAGTGGAGACACTGAAGCGAGTAGCGACGCTGGGGGTGATAACCTTGAGTAGGTAGGATGGCAATGGTGCGGGGTTCCAAAAACTGTTTTCGGAAGGTGAGCATGCAAGCCATGGGTAGAGTCACCGCTTCATAGAAAGGGTCCACGTTGTTCTGTTGGATGAATATGTTGCGGAATGCAGCACAGCCTCGACGCAAAATGTCCACATCACTCTGACAGTAGGTTTACAATTCCTCATCCAGATCAAAGACAGTCCCTTCAGCCACCCGTGCATCGTACCAGGCCAAGAAAGCTTTACGTTCGGCAGGAAACATGCTGTCAGGATCGTAGGTAGACACGGGAGGATAAGGACCCACATAGCCTTGGTGAGCTTCGGTGTTGAAGAAGTGAGGGAAGTAGCCTTTCTTGAGTTCCGTCAATGCAAACGTTTTTGGAAACTGCTTCAGAGCCATCGTGAGGAAGTTGAGTGAATCCTTGAAAACAAGGCGTCCCACGGTCATCTGCAAGATGTGATTCCCTCGAAGTGTGACCTGGGGTGCTTTCACGAGATGTTGATGGAAGTACTGTTGGAGCAAGTGTCCATCATACCCACGGTAGTTGTGAGCAATGACCAAAACGTCGTCATCATCAATGGTAGGGGAAATGTCGTCTTCATCGTCTTGTTCTTTGTCGTCGTCTTGTTGTTCTACATCATCATCATCGGGTTCTGGTGATGACAGTTTGGGTTGTTTCGAGGCACGTCCTGACGGCTGCTGCTGGGATGCCTTACGTTTCTTCTTCTGCTTCTCTTTTCTTTTCCGCCAGACGCATCAGCCAGTCGCCCATGTCCTTCAAGGTCGTAGATCCCCGAAACACTTTGATACGGCTAGGCCCTTCTCCTTCCTTACGCCAGGGGGGCACTTGTCGCACAACTGATCCGAGGGCTCGGAAATACATTTTCCACATCCCAGATGCACCACACACAAGTTGGGAACATGAGTCCCTTGATCTTGAGTACATTCAAAGTCATAGAAGATGAACTGACGCTGTTGCCGTTCTTTGTCTTCATCCATTTTTTCACCGTCTTCATTTTGTTTCGGTGGTTCGATGACGGACATGTAACACTGGTGGTTGGGTTTCAAGGGTTCTTTGCAGATCTTACAGTCACGATTCGTGCCACACTGGTGGTTGGCCATGCCCTGGATTTTCCTCACGTTGACTTTGGCCATGCATCGATGACACGTATGGATGGTGGAGCGGGTGCTGGGATGCTTGGCGGAGGCCGTCCGATGGCGTTGAAAGCAGTATGAGTTTCGGAACCATCCGCCACATTGGAGACAGGAGAGCCCTTCATTGTCCACGTCGCCACAGTATCCAAGACATTGGCACCAGTGGCATTGAAATTCTCGGGTGCAGCGATGATTTTCAGGGGGTACTGTATCCTTGGTCACAAGTTTCACAATAGTAGGGATAACCTGTGAAGGCAGTCATGGATGTAATGACATCGTAATGCTGATGGTGATGATACAAGTGAAGGATCTTGGTGGGTTGAGGCACTTCACTCTTGTACAGGAGTCGATTCATCACATCTTGGGAGTAGACTTTGAGCTGATAGTAAGGCGCCAAACGTTGACTGAACAACTCCCACGTGGCACGCCCTGTACAAGGCCCTTCGGGGATCTTGAGTTGACGAAACAAGCCCTTGGCAGCCTTCAGTTGAACTGGAATACGTTGGTCACACAGGTATTTCCATTGCTTCGTCCATTCCTTGGTCACAGGATCGGGTTTGTGTTTGTGGTGACTGGCCACGACCAGGGCACGGGCAAAGCAGAGCTGATCCTCATTCTTGATTTGAACGATGCATTGTTTCTTTTCTAGGAAAGTGTTTAAGCCAACAAGGTGCCTTGGCCGGCCGTGTCCCTCACCTATACGATCAGGATCCTCTACATGCAGTAAGTATATGTCCATGGTGTCATCGATATGTAAATCGTGGTTGCTTTGTTGTACTTTTTCCACTTGGGCCATGATGTGTTCCCCCTGCAGGTCACCCATCCGCTGAAATGGGACTCGGATGTCTGAATCCAGGGCTGGGTGTTCCAGGGCCAATCCCACGCGATCACCATCCTGGCCGCCCACATCGTCTCTCAAATCTGCTAACACTGCATCAAACTGTTCTCTGAGAACGACGGGAAGGTCTTCAGGCTGTTGACGCTGCAGCCAAGCTGGATTGAACGTCAGGTTGTAGCGCTGGGTACCAGTCCAGAATTTCTTGGTTGTTCTTTGGGTCGTCCGCTCCAACTGGTAGGGCACAGGCTCCTCTTCAAGCTCATCTTCGTTCATTCGTGGTGACGGCATGGTGAGAACTGGTAAGACCCACGCTGAGCCTGGTTTATATAGGTCACGTCACCCTATGACGTCACAATAGGCCGTCCTAAGCGTGGCAGTGCACGCCATAACCTCATGTGTTATTTATAGGAATGATGTCATACCCATGACGTCACACTAGCCTATCGCCCTGTTGAGTCAGGATGAGAGTGGTGCAAACCGGATGCAACCGGTGCGAACCAGATGCGTCAAAGTGACGTCATCAACCCCCAGCTATATAAACTCGAGGTTTTCCAGCTCTCCCCATCAGTTGCTCACTGAAACTAGAAGCATGCAGACGTCTCCCGCCTCCGCCTCCTTCCGTTGCCGCCTGTGCGAAACAGATGACCACAGTTATCTACACTGTCCCAAGGTGACCTGTACCGAGTGTGGTGCTCAAGGCCATCGCCATTACGTATGTCCCAAGAAGACCAAGGACAACAACAAGCACGATAACGACACCTGCTACAACTGTGGAAAAAACGAAGGTCATCTCAGTTACGCCTGTCCACATCCCTGTCGTCACTGTGGTGAAGAGGACCATAAGAGTATGAACTGCTCTAACAAGACCCAGAAACGTCCGGCATCCACCCACCAGTCAAGTGAACCGCCAAAGAAAGTGAGTAAACGTGAAAGCCAACATCTACTGACTCTACTCCATGACAAGGTCCTCCTCGTTCAAGATCGCATAGACACCATGTACTCTCTACTTCAACGCATCTTGGAGTTTGTCGAACCCATGGACGATTTCAGCAGCACTGCCTCCAGTGCACCACCATCACCACAATAGATACCTCGGTGATCTCTCACCCATCCATACCAACGGCCCTTTTCAGGGCCACCCACCTCGCTCGAAAGAAGGCTACATCCAATGTTTTTTAACCACACACACACGCACACACACTTCTCTAGCCACGGCATCGTCCCCCTCACCCCTCTCCCTCCTTCCCTCTCCTTCCCCTCTCCTCTCATCTCCTCTCCTTCCCTTCCCTCTCCGTCCCGTCCCGTCCGCCGCTCGTCCGTTCCGCCATCTTGAAAGGCGTCTACGCTCGCGAGATCCCGCGAGAATCCACGAGATCCCGCGAGATCTCACGTGATCCCACCGGACGGGACGCCATCTTGAAACGCGTCCGCCATCTTGGCCCGGAGGTGACGTCATGGTCATGCGCGTGCACCCACCGGAACCGGACGTGACGTCATCGCCATGTGTACGCACCCGCCTGAACCGGAACCGGAACCCGAGTGATCTCCTTCTGATGGCGGTACATCCGGTCCCCGTGGGCGTCGCCATCTTGATCCAAGATGGCGGCGCCCATGGGGACCGGATGTGCCGCCATCTTGAAAAACACGCCAGGGTGACACTGTACACTACTAGTGACAGAGCGGGTCTCCACATCGGGAACATTGGCCACTCGGTCCCGATGTGCGTTCTGTCACGTGATTTCCATCTTATGTACCATTTCTACCATTATTCCCCAAACATAATACACGTGGCTGCTTCTCTGCAACTCTACCGCTGACTTTTGCCCTCCTTCTCTTGTCCACCATGCTGAACTACCATCCGAGAGTACCCCAACGAACGTTCTTGGACAGGTGCAAAAGAATACGAAGTCTTGAAAGCAGAAGTCATCTGTTTACTGAGAAAACAATATATGTTATGATGGACTGCCTCATTGATCAAATATGTATATTTTAATTTGAATGAGACATTTAGGAACGATACAGGCATCCGATGGACATCAATTCTGCTCCTCTAAGAATACCCGGTGAAACAGTCTTAGTTCACAGATTCAGAGTGACAACACCCTCTTGAAAGCCAGGACACTTGACTTAGGCTCAAAGTTCAATCGTGAGTGAGTGAGTGAGTGGGTGGGTGTGGTGTGTGGTTGGATGAGCTAAATGACTTTGAAATCCTGGAGCGATAATTTCCACACCGGGTATTATCTACATGCGTGCAGATGCAGGCGTGTCTTCAGAACAGACAATACTCTCCATACAACCTTTTAACTGGTAAAGTTAGTATTCTTTTACACAAGTGACCCGTGAAGATCCGGGTTCGAATGTATCTTCAGTCACTCATGCTTGCCGTAAGAGGCGACTAACGGGATCAGGTGGTCAGGTTCGCTGACTGGGTTGACACATGTCATCGTATCCCAATTGCGTAGATCGATGTTCATGCTGTTGCTCCCTGGATTGTCTGGTCCAGACTTGATTATTTACAGACCGCCGCCATATAGCCTGAATATTGTTGAGTCAGTAAGCGTGTGAGCAGGTAAGGACAACCAGAATGGAATGTTGTTTGGTGGACTGTTTGAAAGATGTGTACAGTGTTGTTTATGAATCCTCTATATGATATGAAATCCTGCTAACTCACTCACTCTACATCTGCAGATCTACAGTGACCATGGAACACTTGGTAGGAAGGTACAACTTCATGACGGCGGGTCATGACCAGCGAGCAGACTTCCGCGCTGATCAGAGAAACAACTCCGACAAGTACGAGGCGGTAGTGAACGAGGCGGACCTGCTAGCGGCGTTCAAGGTGCTGAGGAAGGGGGTGTGCCGACCGGACTTTCCCGGGGAAAGTTCTGATCAGTGTTATTTCGCTAAAGACGTCCTGGAAAGTTTGATGACTTGGTCAGAGTGAGTATTGTACTGAGCATTATCCCAGAATTCTATCACATTTAAAAATTGATACTTGTATATATGTGTACTATGTTTCTACACGAAACGCGTTTTACAGGGATTTGAAGGATGATGGAAAGATCGCATCCTTGTCCCGCATCCACGACTTCTGCTTCGACTTCCTCCACGACCTGATCCAGCAGGGGCCGGGGACGACGCACATGGAACTGTGGCAGAAGATGCTTGGCAACAGTGGCTTTGGGTTTAAAGAATATTATCATGTAGGTATATCTGTTAAGTGAAAGATAGATTTCCCATGCCTGTGACATTACATCTCCCCGTGGCTGTGCAACGCAGGAACATATATGGTGCCATTGGTTTGTAAATATTACATTTAAATCAGGATCACGACGATTTTAGTGTTAACAAATGCTAGATCTAAGGTAAGGTAATCCTAAATCCTAAAGAGAATATAATGTTAAGTTGGTTAATTCCGAACACTTGATAACTACGGAGCTGTCCTAATTAGCAAGGTTTCGTTGTTTAACCAGTAGAGACATCCGGAGATGTCTGTCATTCCCACTGACGTGTATGTGTCAAAACAGCTACGTGATGACTGTCACTTGGGGGTGGGTCTTTTAATACTGCATTTTCAGTTGGGTGTTTGATGGGTGGCATACTCAATACTGCACTTTCAGTTGGGTGTTGGATGGGTGGCATACTCAATACTGCACTTTCAGTTGCGTGAGGGTGTCACAATGAATACAACACCTGTAGTTAGGTGTTGGTGTCACGTTGAATACCATACCTTTACTTTGGGGGTGGGGGTTGGGGGTCACATTGAATACTGTGCCGTCAGCTAGGGTAGGGAGTGGGTGTCACATTGAATACTGTGCCGTCAGCTAGGGGAGGGAGTGGGGGTCACATTGAATACTGTGCCGTCAGCTAGGGTAGGGAGTGGGGGTCACATTGAATGCTGTGCCGTCAGCTAGGGTAGGGAGTGGGTGTCACATTGAATACTGTGCGGTCAGCTAGGGTAGGGAGTGGGTGTCACATTGAATACTGTGCCGTCAGCTAGGGTAGGGAGTGGGTGTCACATTGAATACTGTGCCGTCAGCTAGGGTAGGGAGTGGGTGTCACATTGAATACTGTGCGGTCAGCTAGGGAGGGAGTGGGTGTCACATTGAATACTGTGCCGTCAGCTAGGGGAGGGAGTGGGTGTCACATTGAATACTGTGCCGTCTAGGGAGTGGGTGCCGTCAGCTGTGCAGGGAGGGAGTGGGTGTCACATTGAATACTGTGCGGTCAGCTAGGGAGGAGTGGGTGTCACATTGAATACTGTGCCGTCAGCTAGGGAGGGAGTGGGTGTCACATTGAATACTGTGCCGTCAGCTAGGGAGGGAGTGGGTGTCACATTGAATACTGTGCCGTCAGCTAGGGAGGGAGTGGGTGTCACATTGAATACTGTGCCGTCAGCTAGTGGAGGGAGTGGGTGTCACATTGAATACTGTGCCGCCGTCAGCTAGGTAGGAGTGGGGGTGTCATGGATTGAATACCGTGCGGTCAGCTAGGGTAGGGTGTGGGTGTCACATTGAATACTGTGCGGTCAGCTAGGGAGGGAGTGGGTGCCATATTGAATACTGTGCCGTCAGCTAGTGGAGGGAGTAGGGGTCACATTGAATACTGTGCGGTCAGCTAGTGGAGGGTGTGGGTGTCACATTGAATACTGTGTTGTCAGCTAGGGGAGAGAGTAGGGGGTCACATTGAATACTGTGCTGTCAGCTAAGGGAGGGAGTGGGTGTCACATTGAATACTGTGCCGTCAGCTAGTGGAGGGAGTGGGTGTCACATTGAATACTGAGCCGTCAGCCAGTGTAGGGAGTGGGTGTCACAGTGGTCAGCTAGGGAGTGAGGCACACATTGAATATTGTGCGGTCAGCTAGTGGAGGAGTGGGTGTCACATTGAATACCAGCCGTCAGCTAGGAATAGGGAGTGGGTGTCACATTGAATATTGTGCCGTCAGCTAGGGTAGAGGAGTGGGTGTCACATTGAATAATGGGTGTCATATTGAATACTGCCGTCAGCTCCAGGGAGGGAGTGGGTGTCACATTGAATACTGTGCCGTCATCTAGGGAGGGAGTGGGTGTCACATTGAATACTGTGCCGCCGCCAGCTAGTGGAGGAGTGGCCACATGGTGGTCACAGGGGAGAGAGTGGGGGTCACATTGAATACTGTGCTGTCAGCTAAGGGAGGGAGTGGGTGTCA